ATTATTATTATTATTATTATTATTATTATTATTATTATTATTATTATCGTAAATTATTATTATTATCGTAAATTATTGATAGTATTGTCTAAGTAGTAGTTGTTGTTTTCATATTGTTTGTATAATGAGTTTTTAAAAAAATTAACAACTTAATCTTTTGATAACCGAAGTTTGCTATAACTACCATCGTTCTCAACTTTTTTTTCCCTGGAGAAAATAATAAATAAATAATAAATTTTAATATAAAATCACATTAAAAAAATTGTTACCCCTCAAAATAGAAGAAAGGGGGTATAACCGCCTTTTCAAATAACGTTCTGATTTTTAAGCAGTTTAATCTCGATTATGTCCCTTGTAATAATGTCAACTTCCAACTGTTTGTTCTTGGCAGGTTTCCAGAATACTACATGTACACCTAATTCCAAGAGCTTAGAAATTCCTTTCGGCCATGACCCTGTTGGATGAGATGTGTTTTAGGTAACAGTGCCAAACGAAGATAAGTTAAAATTAAAGAAATATACTCGTTAAATCATTTAGATCGACACATACACAACACACGAAGAAAATTATTATTAACACCCACATAGATTAGTGATAGTGATAGCAAAACAAAATACTAATAGGAGGTGCCCACTAGCGAATGTGGGTCAGGTCGGGTCGGGTCGGGTCGGGTCGGGTCGGGTCATCGGGTCGGGTCATCGGGTCGGGTCGCTTTCTGTTGGTTTCAGTGCACACGACAACCCCGCCGCGATTGTACCCGACGACCTGGAAGTTAACGTAAGAAACCTTTTACTTACATGCAACCACACAGAGGGCGTAAACAGGGCTACGATTGGCTGAACCTTTGACCCTTGAATGCATAAGTAGATCTAGGCCTACGGTACTCTTGGACTTCCCGCACTCCCTCTCTCTGTCTTCCTCTGTCTGAATGTGCGTGCGTGTGCGTGTGAGTGCTTGCTTGCCTGTTTGCTTGCTTGCTTGCTTGCTTTAGTGTTGTTCTCCTTTCTTGTTTATTTTTCACTTTCCATGTATCAGAGAATTAGATCTAGCACTAGCACGGCATACATGTCTCAACTTATCTCTCTTACTCCCTGTTTCTCTCACCACCCTCCCTCATTTATCCTCCTCCTCCTTCTTCTTCTTCTTCTTATTCGTCTCCTTCTTCCTCTAGGCCTAAGAGCGCTCCAAACCTGCTGTGAGAAGTGAGAAGACGGTCAAAGGCGTGAGACTGACACCGTGAATTTCCAGCCTAAATAAGGTATTCATAGGTTAAAATTGACATGTGACTCAGCCTTGTTGTGATTGGCTGCAAACCACCCGATCGCTCGATTCGCAGGCCTGAAAACAAACGCGTTTGTTTTTGTAGGTCACCAACAGAGTTCAACGGATTGTGCCACGATGGCCGCTTTGCGCTCTCAATTCGGCTAACCCGGCTACACGATAGGCCCGACCCGACCTGACCCCACCCGATCGCGTATGTGGGCACTCCGTATAAGAGCTCACTTCAGAGATAGACCAAGACATTCTTAAAGTAATAGGGGTGCCCACTACGGCTGGATCGGAGCGATCGCCCGACTCGATCGCCTGAAAATGAATACAAACACGTTAGTTTTTTAGGCGATCGAGTCGGGCGATCGGCCGATCTCATCCGTAGTGGACACCCGAACACACACGAACAAGCGTTGTACGATGTAATCATTTTTATTTTGAAATTTCCTGTAAACAGTAGAATTGTTTTCATATTTCAGCGCGATATACAAGCCATTTCTCTATCGTGCACATACCACACTCACAAAAGAAGTCGAAAATGATCATGTAAATATCAAGATGAATAAATAAAAATGTCATTAGCATCTATGTCTTTTAGAATGATGTCTTATGGAAAGGGAATAAATGTATCACGATACGGTGGATTCGGGTGCACGTCACATATTATGTATTGCTTCTAATGAAAAAAAGAACCAACGAAACAAAACAAAACCAACAAAAAGGTTTTGAAAAAAAGCAAAATAAAACAAAGCAAAACAACCAAACAACAACTACAAACAAACTTAAAAAAAAAAAAAAGAAAAGAAAAAAATCATCGGTATCCTGAACAGTAGTGGAGAAAGCTTACAGTCCTTTACCTTCTTTTTTCCTTTCCTTACGTACTACTATTTCCAGAAATATGTACACACACGTGTTGCAAGAAGAATAATAATATGGGTTTACAAAACGGCCAGCAGACAGACAGACAGACAGACAGACAGACAGACAGACACATATTCAAACAGACAGACAGACAGACAGACAGACATACAGACAGACAGGCAGACAGACAGACAGACAGACAGACAGACAGACAGACAGACAGACAGACAGACAGGCCAATAGATAGACAGTTAGGTGTCCAAATAATTGATAACAGAGCCTAGTAAAGAGTTTGGAACATAAAACAAACACACACACACACACACACACACACACACACACACACATACACAAACAAACACACACATACACACACACACACACACACACACAATATATATATTAACGTACGTGGAATGCTAGATTACAAATGGGAGACGGAAAAAAGAGAGAGAGAGAACAATAATAAAGTAAACTTTTTGAAAACTGCTGAAAAGACAGATGAGTGGTGAACTATGAACGCTGACGCCTGTTTCCGACCTTCCAAAAAAAAAAAAAAAAAAAAAAAAAAGTCTGAACTTTATCATTTCCCTCGACAAGGAATAGGGAAAGTGCAGAGCCGTCTGCGTCTTTTCTCTACATTGTACTGCTCTCTGAGCGAATGCTCCGCTGGCTCCCATTGGCTGGCCGGGGAACACGTGAAGTTCAGACGCTGTGGAACGAATATAAAACAAAGCCTAAATAAACTGCGACGATCACTGTTGTTGCACATTGATAATTGTTGTTGTTGTTGTTGTTGTTGTTGTTGTTGTTGTTCTTCTTCTTCTTCTTCTTCTTCTTCTTCTTCTTCTTCTTCTTCTTCTTCTTTTTCTTCTTCTTACTATCGTTATCATTATCAGTATCATTATTATTATTATTATTATTATCAGTATTATCAGTATTGTTAACATGGTTATAACGCTATTATCAGGAAGCCAACAGAGGAAATACAAGGAAAAGACTACAAGAACGCAATTACAAGACAGAAGGAAAACGAGATAAAGACAGAAGGACGAAAGAGAAAACTAAAAAGGAAAAAAAAGGAATAGAAGAGACACAATTTCTAACCTGTTTTAGAGATCCTGGGGTCTTCAGTAGCTGGTAGAAGGCGTATCCCGGTATGGGCAGGAAGGAGACAGTAGCTAAACACCAACCACAGATGACCTCAATCCTACCGTAGTGGTAGCCCTGGTAGACGGGTGGTCCATACGTCAACAGGGTGCTGACTAAAACAGTCTGTCGATTCCAGGGGGAAAAGCTCAACAATGATGTAATAATATTATGATATCGTTTACTGTCGAACTTGCTCTTACGGCCACCTGACCAATACAATCACATGCAGAAATTATTACCACCTCACACCCCCCCCCCCCCCTTTCCGGAATACTCGCGGGTTTTTTTTTTTCAACTTTATTATGTCACTGTATCATCCGGAATCATGTCGGTGATGGATGAAGATCGTGAAAGGCGCCCATCATTTGTGGTAACTGAAGAGAATGTATCCATAGTGAAGAAACTGATTCTACAAGACCTCAGCTTGTTCAAGACAACAACAATTATATAATTATACTCCTCGACAGTAGTTGGCCGTCATTGGACGGTTTCCATTATGTCACCATTGTTCTTTCTGTTACTGAATGGGACAAAAGCAGCCTTTTCTTCTTCTTTAGGTGTCAGGTCTGGTGTAGACGTTGACGATCCTGGCACCTCATTCCCTCAAATTCAGAAGAAACTCGTTTTTTATTGTTGTGTAGATTTAACATAAAACTGTTCAGACCACCGATGTATGTTGATCTCAGTCTTCATGGAAAATGTCGAAAGTTTGAATCATTGTCTGTATTATTCTTAGACTTGTATTATAGTATTATTATTATTATTATTATCATACATGCGAAATCTTTTGTCCTACCGGTTCACTATTCACGCACCGTTTCGCCGAATTTGAGAAAAATGAAGGGACAAGGATGAATGTCACGCAGGCATTCGACTGTAGCAAAACTTGTGATCGTCGTTCCCTTTGGCGTAACTGTACAGATTATAAACGGGAACCCATTCCCGGCTGGGTAAAGTGAGGAAGATCCACGTAAAGTAAATTTCCCATGGACGCAAAGTTGGAACCCTGACTGACATTTGAACCCACAACGTTTAGGCTGAAAGCTCATTGGCCTAACCACCAGATAACCGATGCTACATGACATAAGCAAGAACAACATACTTCGAAAAAATCTTGAAGGGTGATTTAATCTAGGTACCTAGCTGTCTTATTATGAATCACTAACTATTTGAATAATGACACAGTTGACCCCTTTCAGAAAACCTATTTTAGCCTTTCAAATAACAAAAAAAAGCAAAAATACCCAAAATCCCTTTTGTATAAACATGTCTGTGCTTGTCCTAGAATCATGTTGCTTTTCAACAATCTGTAGTCCATGCTCATTTATAAATCGGGTTGCTGTTGTTTTAGTAAGTATTTTACGACACTTGCTACACAAGAGGGTCATATGAGTGCCGAATTTTAAAGGTGTTACAAGATACTTACAAACACAAAAAGAAGGAAGGAAGATTAATCTTTGGGAGGGAAGAAGGAGCAAACCACATCAGAGCACCAACCAAGCACCCAATTAACCAAGTTGTTTGGGAAAGTTGTCTAAGCTCTTTGCCAACATAAATCTTTCCTTGTAAATATATACACTTGCAGGTGGTTCCCAAAGATAATTGGTTAACTGTTTTTATTGTTTCTACGAGACTTTAAATGAAGGTTTGGGAGATATAACTATTACTTGTACTGTTGCTTATTACTTTTAAATAAGGGAAATGGCACTGCCGCTTTTTGAAACAAAATCTCTCTCAAATAAACACTTTTTCCTGTGTATACAAGGGTAAATATACGCCTCAGCAATGAAATAGGTTAAGTGATATCACGAGAGATGTTAAACACGTATCATTTCTTAATCTAAGATGTGGAAATTTGGTGACTTACGAGCAAAAGGATCGGGGTGATGAATCTCCACACAATGATGAAGAGACGAGGTGGCCGACGACCAAGCATGAGCTTGATATCATCAAAGAAACGTTCTGCACCTGGGAACATGAGTGGAGCTTGTAAGTAATAATAGTCTATTCCATTTCATTGCTGGAACGAAGAAAAGTACATTGGCACGAATGGGGCTATTTAGTGTTGAGGATAAAAGCAACAAAAGCTGATTGGAAGTATATACGAAGGGGTAATAAACGAAGTATGAATGATAAAGTCTCTTTTAGAAGCTCGAATCAGACGGTGTATGAGCAAGCGTAGAGGTCAATTTTAAAACGTAACGAAAAAGAAAGTTGTCAGACTTTGTCTGTACTTCGCTGGTACTATAAAAAGTGAACAGTATATCTCAGATACAATAAAATAACAGGGTTAATAAAAGTAGGTCGAGGGAATTAAAACACAGTTCAGAAGGGAGCTAAACTAGGTCCAGGGCCCAGGAAAAAAGCTTGCTAGTGCTTCTATGAATAAATTGCCTCATCTATCAATTGCTTACGTTCCAACGGTTAGTGTTGCGTACCGTAGATCCAGCCGACAACGACCAGTTCCAGTATACCGTTCACAATCACGGCGTAGGCGGCAAAATACCAGTCTACCAACTGGAACAGGTACATACCACCCTGTGGGAGAGAACACGGACACGCTCTTTCATAATTATAGTTCATGTTTCATGCCTCCAAAACCCCAATTTAGTTTTAAAAGGAGGCTGGCCACTTTGACTTTTGCGTCTAAGCCAGCCCAATAGGACAAAGAAACAGCATCCCAGCTAATGGACCCCAATTAAGAATTAAACTCATGTCATGCGCGCAACAGCAAACAACACAACATCAAGCTTTATACCATAGACAAAGAGGATCAACTCTTAACTTCCACTATTTTTTCACATATTGATACATATTCAAAACATTGTCTTTACTGGTTTAAGTTTTTTGATTTGAGTAAAGATAAGCAAAGATAAGCGTTTTGTCACAACAAACGGCCATTGAGAACAAGGAACAAAACAAGGCATAACGACCGAGTCAAAAAGTGAAAGAAGCAGGTCCTACAAGAGACGCCTCCAACTATCCGCTCTCATTGTACAGACCACCCCCCCC